GATAATTTGCCCTTTTACATGTTATTTTTTACTTCAAATTTTATTCCTTTTATTTTTGTTCTTTTTACTTAGATTGTTTGTTAAACTAAAGGGAAATTTTTTGAAATGTCATATGAATTTGTACCAATTTTTCAATTTGTCATATGAACTAAAATTTTAAACAATTTGTCATACTAACTTTCCGAAATCATCAATTTGTCATGTCACCATAACTCTGTTAAGTTTTTCATCCAAAATAAGTCATGTGCCTCGCACATGACTTGTGTTCATGGTTATTTCTGTCATTTTAACACTCTACTTCATTCTATTAAGTTGTATTCGATCAAAACAATTCTAGGGTGTTCAACTTAGCATCTCATGAAATCAAATTTTATTTGGGCTTTGTAACATGAGAAACGAGTTTAGGTTTGGTGTCAGAAATAGAGTTATAAATGTATATACGTTACTCGAACACAACTATCCCCATGAATACCATCCAACACAAAATTTAAGGGCTTTACTAAAGAAAGTAAAGAACTTGTAAGGGCTTTACAAGTCATATACCTCGCACATGACTTATTTTAGATGGAAAACTTACAGAGTTAAGGTGAGATGACAAATTGATGATTTTGAAAGGTTGGTATGACAAATTGCTTAAAATTTTAGTTTATATGACAAATTAAAAAAATATGTACAAGTTCATATGACATTTCAAAAAATACTAATTAAACGAGGTATTTTTCGAAATTACAATTAATTCATTTTTTTTGCCTTCGTCGAATTTGTTGAAAATATCCTAAATTCGACTTTATGTATAAAAAAAACGTGTCAACCTTAAAAACCCCAGGGGCCAGAATCATCTCCGAAACCGAGATTACCATTTCTACCCTTCTCCTTGAGCCAAATTCCTCCTGTGTCCCAATAAACTGCCGCTTCTCACTTCAACGGTTAGAGCCTTGGAAGTTGCATTTGAACAAGTCTGTATGCTCCAACAATGTCGAAGAAGAAACTGCTCACTCCTCTCTCCGCCATTCTCCGGCGAACCCTAACTCCGACTACCGCTCTTTTCTCCTTCAATTCGTCAAGAAATTTCCAATCTCCCGCTTTTTTCACGTCCAATGTAGAAGCGGACCGCCGCCTTTTCCCGTTCGGCGGATTTGGTTTACCCGGGAATCACAGAATTCCCGGGAAATGCTTCGTCAGCTCCCAATCGGCAGAGAAAGCCGACGCTAGGTGCTGGAACTGTAGTGCCTCGCCCGAAGCGGTGCCGTTTCTGTTGTGTTCGTCTTGTCGGTGCATTCAGCCGGTGGATCAGTCGGTGGATTACTTTCAGATATTTGGACTGTAAGCAATTAAGGCTTTAAAAATTAGGTGTTCTCTCTCTTTGTTATTTCTGTCTGTTTGGTTTCTGAGAAAATGAGAGAGAGGTAGAAAGAAGGTGAAAGTTTTGAACTTTTAATTGTTTCTTTTTGGTATAATATATATTGGGGGCGGGGCAAAAGTCAAATTCGGGATCTCGGTGTATGCGCGAATGCTCTTAACCAAACGAGCAAAATTTTGAATCTTTAATTAGTCACTGTCTGCGTGGTTATAGGAAACAAAGCTAGTTTCTGTTATACTTATTTGAGCATTTCTCACAAACTAGAAGGATTTGTTTTCAATTTTGTTCAAATTAATATTAACAGGGAGAGAAAGTACGATACCAAAGTGGACGATTTGGAGGGGAAGTATAAGGCCTGGCAGAAAAAACTGCACCCTGATCTTGTTCATACTAAATCAGAGGTATTTGTGATAACATATCTTCATTTTCAACATATGGGAAATGTAAAAGATAACACTTTCCGGTTATAGTAAATGTTTTTTTTTTTTAATGTTTACCATGGTTTTAGAAAGAAAGAGAGTGTGCTGCTGAACAGTCTGCTCGGGTGATTGATGCATATCGCACACTAAGCCAGCCCTTGGCGAGGGCAATTTACATTGTAAGTGTGCTTTTTGCGTATGAGGTTATCGTTTGATGCATTTTTATTGTGTTTAAACGAATGTTCTGAGAACTGGACTAGTTTGGCAGAAAAGGGTCTTATTGAATGTGATTACTTGGTAAATAACTAACAATATTCGTATGATACAAATCAATCTTGACCCTAACAGTTATTTAGTTACAAGGGCTTCTATGTGTGTGTATGTGGGTGTTGTGACCATGATAGAGAGGTTCTTGACACGCATAGTTAATGTTGAGAATGAGTCCCACATTGATGGGAGGAGGGACCTTCTACTCCTCATATTGCCAGTTGGTTTTATGGTGGAACCTCAACTTTCTTCATGGTATCAGAGCCAGGTTGTCCCACGTGTGAAGCCAAATGGCCACATGTGCTCTACGTCACCTCGTTGTGTTGTCCACGTGTTAGGCTGGAAAATTTGCCACACGTGAAGGGGCGTGTTGAGAATGAGTCCCACATTGATGGGGGGAGGGACCTTGCATGGGCTTATAAGAGGTTGGGCTACTCCTCATATTGCCAATTGATTTTATGGTGGAACCTCAACTTTCTTCAGTTAAAACATGGCTGACTTCACATTCTTCATTTGCAACAGTGTCATGATGAATAATCCTATCATTCAATAGTTCATGATGTGAATTTGTGTGTGTATTATCATTTCCTTTGTGAGTAGCTTTCCGTACCTGCATTTAGTTTCATGGTCCCATGATTCAAAAGATAAGGGCGAGAAGATCATCTAGGCAAAGTTTCTTGATCATCCAATTTATTAGTGTTTGCTATTCATATTCTACAAGTTTTGAAATTAAACTGTTATTTATTTATTTTTTTTCAGCTGAAGCTTGAAGGTGTGGACGTTGATGAAGAAGAGACACTTTCAGAATCAGAGTTGCTAACTGAGGTAATTTGAAGAAGTTGAAATCCTGTCATATTTATACAACCTATTATCTCTTTGCAATTTTACCCATAATCTGAGTGTAGTGAAATATTGACTGAAAAAATGGTAAAGATCTTATTTTTGTAAGCTTGATGGATAATTTGACATATTTGGAGTGCACATATTTGAGACGAATATCATCCAGTAGAAAATTTTGTAATCTAGTTGAAGCTTGTGTTGTAAAATTTACAGTTGGGATGGTTTGTAGTTGAATGGTTTTTTAATTTCTTATTCTAGAATTCTTTTCCTTCAAGAAATGAAGTTTGTTATTAATATTGGAGGAAACATTTCCCATAGACGTTTGGAGTCACTGAGTTGTTTTTCTTTTGTTTTGATGAATATGCTGAAGTTGATGGGTCATTGAGTGAATATTAATTTGATTTTCTTATACCTTCTGGCTCGGAAAGTTCAGATTTTGGAAATCAGGGAAGCTGTTGAAGAGGCTGCTGACTCTCAGGCTTTGAATGAGATTCAATCTCAGGTATGAACCAAGACTTTTTACATACATGTGGGAATAATTAGCAAGGAACACGACAATTCTTGTCACATATCGCTTGCAGTCTAATTTGTAGAGCAATTTCCTAGAGTTTCATAGTTCTCAAAACTATCACACAGAGAAATTGCCAAAAGATAAAAAGTTAAGTGGACTAAGCTACTAAGGGGTCTTCAATGTGATTCTTTAGATTCGACCAAGGTTAATTAGTGTTCCATGATCTTTTGTTCTATTGTAACGGTTCTGTGTTTCCTCAAGTTCCATGAAGAAGAGCTTGCATATTTACCTTTTTAATTCACCTCTTTTGTTAATAAAAATATGCGTAATGTCGACCTTATTGCCCTTTTATTCGTTTTATTTTTTATCAACTCATCTCTGTTCTTGCTCATCTAGATGAAAGAGAAACTAAAGCATTGGTCCGACGTTTTTACAAACGCATTTCGTAGCCGCAACTTTGGAGAAGCTCTAAAAGCTATCCGGAGAATGACTTACTATGAGCGTGTAAATGAAAGTGTTGTAAAGAAGCAGTAATAAAGGTAAGACTACGCAACTATTTAGCTAAATCATCAATCTTCAATAGAAAAAAAACGAGTGTAGGAGTCAACATATAGGGCAGAAGGTGCATCATATCTGTGTTCACGAACGTGCCCTGGGGAAAGGGCTCTGTTCTATCCAGTGCACATTTGTTTGGTTTACTCTTTGGCATGGTAATGTACGAGAACACACACAGACAGAGACCTCATGGATATGGACCCGGAAACCTCACTTCCGACGGGATTATGGGAGAATGGAGGGTACCATTTGCTTTATATGGTTATGCTGTCATCCTGTAATAAATTGAATATTTATTTGAAAAGATTGGATCTATATATTTTCATTGTTAACATATTAACAGATGGATGATATGCTAACGAGGCCATCATCCGGCAACTTTCAGGCTCTTAGGATCTCAAACAGTATGGTTCTTGAACAAACAAAGTTTAACTGCACGATTGACAAGAAGATTTCGCAACAAAGTGTGAGTATGTTAAACTTTAGATACGCTTGTTTTTTTTTTTTTCTCATTTGAACGAAAGCTGTGAACTGATCCTAGATTGTTCATCTTTACAGCCAGGTTTTAATTGAAGACCTGGGTTGAGATTTTTCCCGCGTCCTTCGGATATAAATTAAACATTGGAAATAAGAAGATTGAGCTGAGATTTGTTGGAGCTGCGAATATTTTTCCATCGTATGATTCTGTAATCTTATGAAGATGGTTCAGAGGCAGCTCTTAATAATCACTCATGTTTTTGTTACATTTGTAAATTTCGAAACCGCGTCTGTCGAATTACTTGAATTCAGTGGCTGTAAGCGTTGTTGCCTGATTCGGGTGCCCGCAAATTCTGCACAGGTGAAAGAGCAATTGAAACCGGGGTGGACGATAGAGTTGAATGCTTCGGGATTAATTTTTCATTTCGAAAGTCCGTTTGATCCTCAACGTCGATGAGCCAAAACAATGTACAGAATACGAATCTTGTCCGTGCGAGGAATATACCTGCAGTTCCTGAATCTTAACGATATGAATTCGAGGAAAATTCATGCAGAAACCAGAAAGATAAAATGTCGTTCCTGCGGGTATTCCTTTGAAGTAGGAAAGAAAATTTCTTGTTGCCCAAGCAAGCAGTCGAGTCTATAATTTTCCAACAGAAATTCAATTACATTGGAACCCTTAGAACCACATCGGTCAAGCCTCAGGACGCAATTTCAATTTGTACAGGTATGGAGACACAACCAGTTCTCCAGCAGCAACCGCATTTCGTGAGGGCGATTTTTCCTTTTTCCCCATTTAAGTTTTCATATCTGTAGCACACAAGCCATGGTTACTACTGGATATATATATATATATATATATATATATATATATATCAGATAAACAAACACAGATGAAGCATGATTTTGTAAAACTGAACAAATGGAGAAAACATAAACGTAGCACCTTGAAAATCTGTCAGCATCTTTGTCATCCTCGTTGTCGTTAGTCATCATCAGCTTCATCACTGTCTTATTTTTCTTGTTTTCAGTCTTATCTAGCCTATTTTCCTTTGCAAAGACATTTTCAAATCCTTTATCTTGAAAAACCAATCCTCCGTCGCAGTGTTAGCTTCACCTTTCACTTTTGGTTTCCTTTGGTCGGAGAAGAGCAAGGGCGAATGAGAAATCTTGAAAGCTAATGTAGTCAGATCTGAAGCAACGGAGGGAAGAGTGCACACCGTGCTACTCCTATGTCACCACTACCAGCACCTCCAAATTTGAAACGAGGAATAGGAGGAATTATGCTAACACCTTGCGGCTTCTTATTAATGATAGCTTTTGCTCCATTACAGTGCGAGCCAAATCTTGCTTACCTTCTCTGTTAAGCCCGTAAAATATGGTTCGAAAATTCACCACACTCGGAACAATCCCACTTTCCAACATTTCAGTTATAAGCCGCATTGCTTCTTCAGATTTGCCCATCTTACAAAGACAAGTGATGAACATCGAATACATTCTAAAATCTGGCAATGTTCCTGTAAGTTTCATGTTGTGAAAGACATCCCAAGCTTCGGAAACCATTTCCATGTTCATGTACCCTCGAATAAGTGCAGAATAGGTAATGACTGTTGGTTTACAACCCTTCTGTTGCATTTCCTTAAAAATTTCTAAAGCCTTTCCTATCTGCTTCTCTCTCAAGTAGTGAACTATTAAGGATGTATAAACATGGACGGTTGGATTTACACCCGCCTGCTTCATAGAATCCACCTTGGCCAGTGCTGCTTCTAGTTGTCCACTCCGCAGAAGTCCATGTACAAGGCTCCCATAAGTATACTGATCCAGTTTTGATCGGTCTTCCCCAACATTATCCATCGATGCTGAAGCTTCTTGCAACCTCCCGGCTCGACATAGAGCCCTAATGTACAAGGAATAACTAAGAGGAATCGAAAAACCAACTTTAGGAAGAGAATCTATGCACCTTCTAGCATCTGAGAGCTTACCCACTTCACATAAACAACCAAGATATGTTTCAACCAACTCTTTGTCAGGTACATGACTGGCACGGATCATCTCCTTGAAAATTTTAATTGCTTCGTCTACTTTTCTACCTTTTCTCCCACAAAGAGATATGACTAAATACTTGTAGGTACTAAGAGTTGGTTGGCAATTACTAGACTTCATCTCACCAAAAATCCGCAGAGCAATCTCTGTCATTCCTGTTCGACCATATTGCATTATCATTATTGTCCATGTATCTGGTGTGATTGAGAAACCTTTTCTTCTCATTTCGTAAAAGAGGTTTCTCATGTGCTTGAAATCTTTTCCGCGCCCTGCGGTTTTGATAGCCATGTTGTAAGTATCAGTAGTGTGGCTATAACCAGTTTGCTTTCCTACCCATGCGAAAAATTGTAATGCTACGAAACCATGCACGCTGCTATTCCTCAAAATTTCCACAACGAGTCCTGGAGTGAAATCAACAGCAGAATTCTTCAAAGCTTCCTGAACTAAGGGCCAATCTGTTGAAGAGGACAGAATTTTACAAATATCTTGCAAATGATGCTCATCATAAGCCTTTGAAAGCGGCTCCACTAACGTACAATCCATCTTCGCTGGTTGTAAATAATTAAAGTCCGTCCGTGTACTGAGTTCGTCACCCCCGGATGCTTCAATATTAGAAACCTCTTCTCTTTCTCGTGGATGAAGTTTATAGATCCTCTGCAACTGCTTTACTTTTTCAAGGTTATCCATCTCTCCCTTTTTCTCCATATGATACATAGCCAAATTAAATATGTCATCTCGAATGACTATATCAGATGCTCGCATATCATCAAAGACCTTGAGAATCTCATCTGTCCTTGAAATTCTACAAAGCTCCTTAATGAATATAGAATACGACTTCAATGTGGGCTTGATGCCTTTGTCCTTCATACTATTAAATATTTTCCATGCTTCAGATATACGGTTTTGACGAACCTGACCTGCAACCATGGCTGTGATCGCCACAATATCTGGCTCAACTTCGCTTTCCAGCATCTCATCATACAGATCACTGCCCTTTTGAAATTCATTCAACTTGAAGAGGTGTTGCATCAGTTCTGTGTAGGTAGAAGTTGTAGGCACGTATCCAGATTCTTTCATGCTATGAAACAGATCGAGCGCTTTATCAGCATCATTATTTCTGAAGTACCCATTGATGACGATCCCGTAAACCTTCCCATCAACAATATTTCTCCTCTTCATAATTTCCAAAATTTCCAAAGCATCTGTGATTCTATCAGCCATGCACAATCCTTTCACCAAAGCCTCAAAATACTCAGGACCAAGCATAACCTCTTTATTCTTGAGCTCACGAATAAATTCCAAAGCTTCTCTGATTCTTCCAGATATGCAGAAACTCTTCAACACACAACCATAAACAACGTGTTCTGGAATCTGCGAAACTCTAATCATGTCATCTGAAACCAAGGCAATAGAAGCAGTATCGCCGGAGCTAGCTATACCATTCAATAACAGCTTGTATAAATTTATGCTAAGTCCCATGTCCTTCTGTACCATCTCCTTGTAAAATTCCATCGCAACTTCAGGTTTTCCAGTATTACACAGTGCACGTATCATCGACCTGTAAACCACTACATCCGGTTCAAAACCTTCTTTCCTCATCTTTTCGTAGAAGAACAATGCTTTGCCAATAAACTTAGCATTTCCATACTGTGAGATGAGAATAGTCCAAGTCTTAACATCTTTCTCGCACAGATGCTTTTCCATTTCCTCCATCAACTTCTCCACCATCCCGAACTCTTTTGCATCCCCAGCTATAAACAGCATGGTATTATAAGTCTTAGTTGTATGACAGAACCCTTGTTTGAGCTTCACCCAATTGAAGAACCTCAAAGCCAAATGTGGCACTTTAAAGCACCTCTTCAACACTTTGTCAACAATATCTGAATCCAACGGAAAACCCGATTTTTCTAACATCTCCTCCATTGAAACCAAACCACTCTCCGTCCTGACAATCTTTGTAACCTCCTGAACCACGGGGCTGACATCACTTTCAGCCAAATTTTCCGCCTGCGCATCCTCCGAACCTGTTATATCTTTCTTTTCTTGCTGTACACTCTCCTCCGCATTTTTACAAACAGTTTGCGTGCAAGGTTGGCAATCTTCTTCCCCCAACCCTCACCTGGGTTTCCTCCGAAATCAAAAACCCAGATGGGGTTTTATCCGCAGTAACGTTTTCAGCTCCCAAAATCTCAGTAATTTCAGTGAAGAGCGAGCCAAATCCGCCGGTTTCTGGTGCTTGTTTGGAGTGGGTTTTCTTATTAGGCTTTGATGGTTGAGCAACCGTTACAAAACGATTAATCTTGTACAAGTTTGAGAAGCGGAAATGGATAATCTTGCAGCTTGAGCTCGAACACAAGCGTTGTAGTTTGATTAAGCTTCTCATGCTTCGCCTTCAAATTGTATTCTGCGCGGGATTTCACAGACTAAAAGCATAGATCGACACGAAAATAAGGAGGAAGAAAGCAGTGGATACACTGATAATTAAAGGTTAATAATTTAAGATTGTACTTCTTGAATAAAGGCGCTCGTGGCCTAATGGATAAGGCATTTGACTTCTAATCAAAGGATTGTGGGTTCGAGTCCCACCGAGCGTGCGGGAATTTTGATATTTTTTTCTATCCTGTTATAGTTTCATTGCATTATTAATGTGACATATGTAAGTACCGTCTACGGTAATTACGTGTTGTTTTATTATTAACTTACGTTATTTTTTAAATTATTGTACATACTGAGATTAAAAGAAATTATAATTATAACGGTTTTACAACATTATCAATGCAGTATAAGTACGTATCGTTAATGATAACTACGTGTTGTTTCATTATTAATGTACATTGTTTCTGAAATTACTGTATGTACTTAAAAGAAAGTATAAGAATAACCATGTGTCATTTTATTATTAATGTACATTGTTTCTGACATCAACGTATGTACTTATCTTTTTTTCAGTACATCAATATTTGTACACTAAGAGGAGGAGGAGTTCGGCTAAGCCACACAATGGGCAACTTAATTTGGTATCTCATTCACCATCAACAAGATTCGAACCTAAAACCTCTCACTTTCGAGTGAAAAAAATTACTACCAGACCGTAATACTAAGTGGCATGTACATACTTTTCTTAAAGAAAATACTAGAAGATGAGCACACACTTTGTGTGTGAACAATTTCATTTTCTTTTTTGTTTTTTTATTAAGGAGTGTGATTAGTTTTTAAAATTTTTAAAAAGACTATGAGACAATAATGATGAGATCTTTTAATAAAGGCATATTTTTCTTAATATTACATAATTACCATTTTGCCCTCTTTATGTAAGTATAGTACATCAAAAGTGAGGGTAAAATAGGAAAAATAGGGATATGATTGTCATTTTCTCAAAAGATACAAAATTACTATTTTGCCCTCTTATGTAAGTATTGCGTATCAAAAGTGAGGGTAAAATTGAAAAAAAATTGGTAAAAAGTTGACAATAAGGGTTCTTTTAAAGAAGTTTTAACGAAAAGCCACAGTACTTGTTCACTTTAACGAAAAACCACATTTTTACACTAAAAAGTCAATCCTGATACTATTCACTTTACTCTTTATTTTGTCCTTATCATTAAAACTTAAAGTTTTCAAACCATTTTCATTAGTTTTCTTTATTTTAATAGAATAGATAGATAGGAATAACGGCTTCACTGTATCACCAATGAGATCTTGTCATTCTACATGGCATCCATTTTTGGCGGGCCGAAAACCTCCTCTTCAACTAAGCCCACAACGGCCCAATTATAGCCCAACAAGCAGCCTTGGAGCCGAAGTGAATCGATCTTCCCAAACCTTCCACCGACTTAAGCAAAAATCGCAGAGATTTTCTGAAGTTGGCGCGAACAGAGAGTTACAGAAGAAAGATGGGTTGGGTGTGGAGGGACGACGAAGAAGGCGACAGCAATTCTTCGGCGCTTGACATAAACCCTAGATCGGATGGCGAGCGATGCTCGACGAGAAAGGTGGTGAAGACGCAGTGCAAGACTGAGGAGGTGGAGCCTGGAAAGTTCATGCGGAAGTGCGAGAAGACTGAGCAGCTTCTCAGGGACTGCGCCGGCCGGTAAATCCCAATCTCTTTCTCCATCGATTTCTTCATTCCCCTAAAACCCAATGACAAATTGGGAATACTTTTATCTAGGGTTTCTGTGAATTGATAGAAATTGTCTGATGGTGTCACTTTGATTTAGTCTGGATTTAATTTTTCAGCTGAATTTTGTCATATCTATGCCAAATTTAGTTTTTTATTTTTTTGAGGATTTTTTGGGGTGTTATTGTTGGGATTTATGCCTTAGGATAGAAAAATGTTGAACGTTATGATATTTGTTGGATTATGGGAATGTTGGGTTTTCTGTAGTTTTATGACAACACAGTACGAAATTGAATCCAATTTGTATGTTGTTTATAATTAAGAAAAATATTTATGGAAATATGAGACGAGAGATGAGAATGGGCCCTAATCTTTATGCCTTCGTGTATAGCTTGTTCGAGTGCCCGAGGTTTACAGTTTAGTGAAGTATAAATAGCGCGTGGTTATTTGCAGGGTTGATTGAATCTTACTCGTGTTAATAAGAGTACACATAAGACTTCTGATTTGATTGTATTTGATTCTGCATACAGAAAGCGTTGTGGCGTTGATTAGATTATGTCAGATGAATATGCTTAGAGGTCGTTTTATGGTCATGCAAAATAGGTCTTTGCGGTTCTTGTTAGAGAATGGTATCAGTTTCAGCAGTTCTTTATTCTGTTTGTTCTGTGATAAATTGTCCGATTTAATTTGAAGCGAGTAGAATTGGTTTAGCAGTGGATAAAACGTTTTATGCTTGTGCGAAAAAAGTTACATTGACATTAAAGCTGAACACTATAGTATATTGGTACGAGGATGAGCTACCCTACGTAGTGAAACATCTATGAGCACCATGTCTTCAGCTGTCTTTTGCAGCCTCTGGGATGTAATTGGAGCTATCTAGCACATACAAAAAACTTTTCTTTTTCTTCCCTTGTTTGAGTATGGGCGGTTTTTATGTTGCTCTAACATTGACCAATGTAGAACCAATTGCTGAGTACTACGTTTTTGTTAGGCCTGTTGAAGTGGTGCAATCCAACAAAGAGTACACAGAAGATGACGTCACTGACGAGATGCTCAAACGGTCTGTCACCTTTGGGTCATCACAGCATGGAGCGTTTGACTTCCCAGGGTTACGAAGTGACATTGAAGACATTGAACGCAACTTTATGGGTGGCCTCAACCGATTCTTTGAAGCAGCGGAGGAGTTGAAGAGTGGCTTCTTCAGTGCTTTTGGGACTCCACACATCTTTGATGAGGGACCTTCCTGCCCACTACCATCTAGGAGGCGAGAGGTGCCCATTGAAGGTCATCGTCAGCAGGAAGCTTTTCCTAAAGCAAGTGACGGCGACTCAGGACAAGTTGATCTGTCTGGGTTGGCGAGAGATGTTTGAAGAAGAGGTGTCCATTGTCCGTGATGTGTTTGAAGAATGACTACATCCGTTTCCCTGTTAGTATCGTATTTTCCCTTTCTCCTTAATATAGAATACAACTTGAAATTTCTCGTTTATAGTAGAGAAGATCCTATGAAGGATTGTGTCCTGCAAGCCCATCTAAAGAATAATGTGTTCATCTTTATAAAGCAATGGTTTTGCTAATTGGTTTTAGTTTTAAGCATGAATCATCTTCCTGGAATGTTAGAGAAATCTTATTTGCCGATTGCATTAGCTGATCATATCGTATCGGTCGAAACCATGTGTAGACCTCTTTCATCAATGATGGGAGAGATAGACATGTGGTTGTATACAAATCGGTTGTGATAGGGCACATTTTGTCGACTCAAGTATATAATTTTATGACATCTAAAGGCTAAGGACAATGCCATATTATGCTTTTCTTGTTTCGTTTTTACACGCTTCACGTTAAATATACAAATTCATATTGAATGAGAATCCTCTGTTTATTTCTAGAACGCGTCAATGCATGCAAAACATTGTCACATGAGCAGTTAGATTTAAATATTTTAGATGAAACCATTATATCCGACTGTCTATTGGACCACAAAACACAATCTAATGTTACTGGTTGTATACAACTACGTGTCTATCTCTCGCTCATTGCATCAATAGGTCGACGTTTGACGCTTTTTATGTTTCGTTGATTCGTTTCACATTATAAATAAACTTTCATGTGGAATGAGACTGGGGGAGTCCTCTGATTGATAGATGCAACTGCCCAAGTCTTGTACGAAGTTTCCATAGAACCTGCCAACCAGTACCAGAAGGCAGATAGTGGTGCAACACAACTATGTAAGCCATGATTGACCAACGAAAACCAGCCGACCTCGTGGAGTCGGTCAAACATGTTCCTACGACTACGAGATTAAGTAGGCCTATTGCTTATACTATACTCTTCCTCCCCTAAACCCATGTAATTAAGTTATATGTTATCCGCAATCGTGATTTCTTTGGAGTAAGTATGGACCGGTTAAACATGACACGCGGTGGTGGGTTGGTCCAACGAAAACCTATGACGTGTTATAAGCTTTTATTGCGATTAAAATTTACATAACATATCTAGACTCAATCTGCCACATGAAAAGAAATCATGACGTATTATAAGCTTTTATTGCGATTAAAATTTACGTAACATATCTAGACTCAATCTGCCACGTGAAAGGAAATCATCACCTAATTTGTGGCTGGTGTGACGAGCAAAAGTGGTAATTAAATTAATTTTTCTCCACCGGAATAGAGAGAAGAAATCTCACCGGCTACGGCCTGCAGCCGGCGGCGGAGTGCCCAGCCCACGCAATGACCCCCCCAGATGACCAAAACGGCTCCCGGCTGTACTTACAGTTGTCAGACCCCATTGTGGCGTGCCGGTCATATCCTACCAACCTTAAACCCTCCAAATCACAAATATCCCAGCCGTCCATTCCGCTTCAGTGGCCATCGGGAAGGTGAAAATTTCTGTGTGTGTTTAGTCAAAATTGTTAAAAAAAAATTAAAAGAAAAAAAGAAAAAAAAAGAAAGAGAGAGAGAGAGAGAGAGAGAGAGAGAGAGAGAGAGAGAGGAAACGCATCTTGACACATTCCAACAGAAAAACCTACACCCTTTCTCTTTCATACCACAATTTCCTTCCTTCTCCGTTCGTGTGCGGATTGCGATTATATAATATGGAAAAGGGTAGAGAGAAAATCCTAATACTCTTTCTTCACAATCTAAATAACCACACGAAACGACTGTTTTTTTGTCATTCTCTCTCTCTCTCTCTAATTCTTCCACTGTTTCTCTCTCTTCATAATCTGAAACTTTCTTCCTTGTTGACGCGGTCCTTGTCAATATTTTCTGCCCCAAATATTGGGTTTTGTTGAATTTTCGGTTTCAGCCTCGGGCAGTCGTCTTCTCTGTTGGGTATACATTGGAGGGCTGATTGGTTCTGAGGAAATTTCATATTCTTTTCTAACTTGAAGGGGGAGTCCTCCCTTTGGTTAGTTCATTTTGGAGTTTCTGTCTGTTTTGAGGCTCTTCCTGGGGTTAAAAGGTTGCACCTTTTTCTCCAGAGAACCTCGACGGTACGAGCGAATTACAACTTTTGTTTGAGAAGATGGTGATATTTCTTTGATTCAAGTATTTATTCTTCTTAAAGTGATTGGGATTGAGTTGGTTAAATTGGTGGATAATGCTCCATTTTTGGTCCTTCCATTTTAGTATCCATTTCCTTTTTGGGAGATAAGAGAGGGGATTTTGCCCCTTATATGATATGTGTCTGCATTTGGAATTCTGACAAGAATTGAGACATCGATATCCAGATGGGGAACAACTGCGTCGGATCAACCAAGGACGCACTCATCCATTCAGTCTCGAATTCACTCTGGTGGTCTCGATCAACTGGCAGTTTTTCCAGTAGAGGAATCAATAGTACTGATGAAATGCCGCAATTGAGTAAGAATCCGTCAGAAGCTACTCTCTATGTTCAAAACAAGGCCCCAGAAGCAGTTAAGATAGCTGAGGAAGAGTATAAATCCGTGCAGGCTACAAGTCGGAAGGAGAAGGTTCATCCAGACAAGCCTAAGGAACCGGCACAGCCTCAGAAACACAAGGAGGAGACGTTACTTGCGAGGCAAGTAACACTTCCCGAGGTAGAGGTTAAACTAGCACCACCAACAATTCACATGGAAGAGGCTAGACCGGTACAAGTAGTAGCGAAAAGGGAAGAGACTAACATGGGAGAGGCTAGACTGGTACAAGTAGTAGCGAAAAAGGAAAAGACTAAGCCAGCAGTGCCAGCGAAACCCAAGAAGCCCCATAATGTCAAGAGGGTAGCAAGTGCAGGGCTTCAGGCCGAGTCTGTCTTGCAAACAAAAACAGGGCACTTGAAGGAGTACTACAATTTGGGCCAAAAGCTCGGACACGGGCAGTTTGGAATGACTTTTCTCTGTGTGGAGAAAGCGACTGGAAAGGAGTATGCTTGTAAATCCATCGCTAAAAGGAAACTCCTGACTACAGAAGATGTGGAGGATGTGAGGAGAGAAATTCAGATTATGCATCACTTGGCAGGGAATCAAAATGTAATCACAATTAAAGCAACATATGAGGATGCTGTTGCAGTTCATGTTGTCATGGAATTATGTGCAGGGGGTGAGCTTTTCGATAGGATTATCCAGCGAGGGCATTACACCGAAAGAAAGGCAGCTCAACTGACGAAGACTATAGTTGGAGTTGTAGAAGCTTGCCATTCTTTGGGTGTCATGCATCGTGATCTTAAGCCGGAGAACTTTCTTTTTGTCAACGAGCAGGAGGATTCACCGCTTAAGGCTATCGATTTTGGACTATCAATATTCTTTAAGCCAGGTACGTCTTACAATTTGTTTTTTCTTTCCTTACTGATCCATCTTATGTTCATTGTTTTTCTTTCAATCCATCTCATTTCCATTTATGATTTTGTCTATAGTTAATTTAGATCACTTTAAAATCGATACCCTTTGACCTTTCGGTAACTTATCATACAAAACACCAATCGGATTGGTATTTCTATCTGAATGATGTCAAGCACGTCCTGTTATATATAATATTTCTTCTACTTTGTCAAAACATTTCCAGCTCTCAGTTATTAGTTGACTTTTAGGTAATTTTCTGGTGCTACATACAAATTTTCTGTGTCTTTTATGTTACTGATACAATTAATTTACAGGGGAGAGATTCCGTGATGTGGTTGGAAGCCCCTATTATGTTGCACCAGAAGTCCTGCGCAAGCACTATGGTCCAGAAGCAGATGTTTGGAGTGCCGGTGTTATCATTTACATTCTATTATGTGGGGTTCCTCCGTTTTGGGGTGGTAAGAGTTTTAATCTGTCTACTGGACAAACTTTTGTCTTCCTGTCTCAAATATGTGTGTAATTTCACAATGCACTCTTGCTCTTTCCCCTCTTCTTATTCTTTCTATTCATTTCAAACAGAAACTGAGCAAGAGATATTTGAAGAGGTGCTGCATGGCGATCTTGACTTCTCATCGGATCCCTGGCCTAGAATTTCTGAAAGTGCCAAAGATCTCGTTAAGAGAATGCTTGTTAGAAACCCAAAAAGCGGCTAACTGCTCATCAAGTTCTCTGTAAGTTTATATGATTGTACATAGTATGAAGAAAGTGGCACTGCAATCCCCTTGTCAATAGTATGCTTGACACACACATTCGCTCTTCATTTTGCACATTCACTTACGGTTCTCTATATAATCAGATCCTCCGTGCGATACGTTTAACTTAGAACATGGAATGAATTGTACCATTGACATGATTGATTAAAATTAAACTTTAGGGGTGAAACTTTTATAAGCGAAAGAAATGGTTTCATTCTGTTGGAGGATTACGTCAGCAGTTCAAACCAATAACGTATGTTCTGATTTCTTGCAGGCCACCCATGGGTTCAGGTTGATGGAGTGGCTCCAGACAAGGCTCTTGATTCCGCTGTTTTAAGTCGCTTGAAGCAGTTTTCTGCAATGAACAAATTTAAGAAAATGGCTCTTAGAGTAAGTCTTGCATTTACCATTTATACTTAAAACTTTATAAATCATTGTGAATACTATCCTATAAAATCGACTTTATTGTGTGCAGATCATTGCAGAGAACCTCTTGGAAGAAGAAATTGCTGGTTTAAAAGAAATTTTCAAGATGATAGATACTGACAATAGTGGTCAAATTACTTTTGATGAACTCAGAGATGGACTCAAAAAATTTGGAGCTAATCTAAATGAATCCGAAATATATGATCTTATGCAAGCTGTAAGTATTATATCAGGACTATCGTTCACTGCCTTTAGGTCTTTGGAAAATGATCCCTCAGGCATGAGGAAAACTTAAAAATTGTAGATAGTCTATGACCCATCTTGTTAGTAGATTACGAGAATGCTTGCATTATTTTTCCTAGAATCTGTTTGCTATTCTATGATTCCTTATGTGGCCTACGGTGTTAATCCTTAAGTAATGTGAGAGTAAACTAGCATATCAATTTCCTTTCTTCGATTGGAGCAAATTATTTTTGTAACTTATGAGGATTTATCTCTTGCTGTTCTCGTTTTGTTGTTCTTATATGAACGCTACTTGTTCTGAAATGCAGGCAGATATTGACAATAGTGGCACAATTGATTACGGAGAGTTTAT